ACCACCAACATGTGAAGACAAGTAGGTTTAAACAGAATTAGTTTGTACTTTCCTGTGCACATAACCATTTTGATGAGATAAAATGGTGATTTCAATAAATGAACTCTTCCACAGTCCTAATGATGTGACTATGAACTTCACCACCGAAGGCTGCTTTTGTCCAGAAGGAATGAAGCTCTTCAACAAAGAGTCCGGCGTGTGTGTAGATAAGTGTGGTAGGTTTGTTGTTTGATAACTAAATCCATCTGAAGACTTCACTACATCCTGAAATCCAACATATTTGCTTTTTTTCCAAAAGGGTGTCTTGATCCTGAAGGAAATCCTCGTGAGGTGAAATTGCTCTTCTTCTACTCATTACTACTACAAAATTATTCCCCTAAAAGAAGCAACTGCATCTCAGCTGTGTTACTTTCTTTCAGTTCGAGGAGAGTTTTGAGTACAAGTGTCAGAACTGCGTCTGTAAAGAGTCCACCAAGACTGTGATTTGTAAGCCAAAGGTGTGCAATCCACAACCCGTGGTTAACTGCACCGCTCCAGGATTTGTCCTCATCAACCAAACGGATCCGTCAGACCCTTGTTGTTTCAAATATGTTTGTCGTAAGACATTTATCATACTTTAAAGTATATTCCTTTGTCATGAGGACTGTGCCCTAAAGGCTCATTTGTTATTCTTGTTTTATCCTCTTGGCAGAATGTCAAAGCAATACCTGTCCAGGGAGTAGCATGAACTGTCCAGTTGGATACATACCTGTTGTCACTGTCCCTGAGGGAAAATGCTGTCCAGAACACAAATGTGGTGAGCTCATGAATTTGGTCTGAAATCACATAAAACCTCATTATGACAGTGTCATGATTAATCATTGTCGCTGTATTTATGTTTTTCTAGAGCCTAAAAGGGTTTGTGTGCACCACGATGTTGAATACCAGGTAATAAAAAAAAGCACTGACTTCATACACAGACTGTTTACATTAAAGCATGGAGAATTAAGACATTTCTTCTTAACCTTTAAGCCTGACTCCTCGGTTCCTGTGGTAGACTGCCAGGATTGTGTCTGCACCACTGAGGTTGACCCCAAATCTGGTCTGTTCAAAATAGATTGTGAAATGAAAGTATGTGAAGAAACCTGTGAACAGGTAAGAAGGGATAATAGTTTCACTGCTTGTCATTTAAACTCCCTTGTGAGTAAGGATGGGACCAACCCTCCTCTCTGCTCTTTCCCAGGGATATTCATATAAGGAAAACAGATCAGATGAATGCTGCGGCACGTGTGTACAAACACACTGTGTTGTCAACGTTACCAGTACCACAAAGCTGCTGAAGGTAGGCTGAGTGAATGTCATTTGGTAATTCTACAACGTTGGACAGGGCGGATGATGCAGTGTTATGTAGGCTCAGTACTTCATAGCATTTTATTTTCAATATGTGTCTAACCTTAGGAAGGAGAAAGCTGGGTTTCACCTGAGAACAGATGTGAGAGTTTCACCTGTGTGAGGAGCGGTCAGGCTTTAGTAGTCACCAGCTCATATAGTGTATGCCCACCATTCGAGCTCAGCAACTGTCATCCTGTAAGTATCACTTCTACGTTGTGACTCTACTGAAACACATGTAAAAGAATGCATTATAATGCTGTATATTTTTATATTCCAAGAATACAGTCCAAACTGCAGCCAATGGGTGTTGTACAACCTGTAAGATTGACATTTTATCACTTTATCACAGAATTGTTAAGTATTTATATCTAATAGCAAACTGACTTTGAGTATTTTGTTTTTCGGAATGACAGGTGTGGAAAAGGAGAAGGCCTGCAAGTTAGTGACCATGAAAGACTACATAAGGCACAAAGACTGCCAGTCCTCTGAGGAGATGGATATTCCCTACTGTGAAGGGTCCTGCAACACCTTCACCAGGTCAGTGCCCATGGATGGATTGTAGTCATAATTGGAGTTAATGCCATTAATTAATTAGACTGATTGAATCTGAATTTTTAATCTGAGTTTTGTTGCTATGATACAAAGACTATAAAAACGTTATTTGCACACACCGTGGGAAAATCTACAGCTGACAAGATGACTAATGCTGAGGACAAGGCCTCACTGTACCCTCTACAAACCACTATCAAGAAGCTTATTAATGACTGATATCCACCAACTCTATGAAAATACATTTTGAATTGTACTCTATATAGATTAATCATGAATAATCATACTTAATCATAATCACAAATAATTGTGTTTAATCCACTTTTTAGATCAATTTTGGCAAATTAGAATTGCTTTATTACATTCATTTTAAATATACTAATTCTTCCATTTGTCCTTCTGTCTTCATTAGTTTTTGAATTATAGTTTTATCTGTATGTTCTTATACTCACTGTAATGTATTTAAAATTCTCCAATTTCTTGCTCTTTAATTTATTAGCCCTCTGTATGTAATTATTTTTTAAATGCTTTGTGCCCAATTGTGTCAAATAAATGTTAGCTCATGTGAACAAAAACTAGATTAGTACAGGCACTGGCCACAGTGTTTACGTGTTTAAATGAATTCCATGTAAATTTTGAGCTGAAACGTGTCCCCTGTCTCTCCCCTGTTCAGGTACTCTGAAGCAGCAACGGGCGAGCAGCAGTCCTGTGCCTGCTGTAAGGAGAAACAATTCAGCAAACGCAAAGTTGACCTGCTCTGTCTGAACGGAGACGTGGTCTCCTACACATACACACATGTGGAGGAGTGTGCCTGCAGCACCATGGAGTGCACTGGGCCGTCTGGTCGCAGGAGGAGAAGCATTACGTGGTTCTAATATGGGATTAAAAACATTTTTCTATGTTACACACATCTTTGACGGTAATTGTCTTTGATGGAAATATTTATCACTTCACCAATTAAAAACCTGCAACTTACTCTGGTTCTGTTTGGTTTGTATAACAATTACTTTACAGCAGCAACAACTCGGCGTAGCTGATAAAAAACGGATTAAAAAAAGTATATTTCTTACAGGGAAAAAATGTAGATAAACGTCGCCCACTCAGGTATTTAATTCGCCGACAAATCTGACATCTTACAACACCGCCACTAGATGGCGACTGTATACAAAGATTGAAGACAGGACAAACCAACGACGGATCGATTCACGTCCAAGATCACGTAATTATACGTGACGTCATCCAAAGTCTATAGATATGTTGTATGGAAAACCACTCTGAATGTTGGTTTTTGTTTTTATTTCTCATTCCACTGGCCTCTCGATGTTATATCACTCCGCCGTTTGCCTCTTTATTCCCTGCTCTTCTTTGCAAACCTGTGAAGACTGTTTCTTAGCTGTAGGTTGAAAAAAGACAATCTGGAAAAGTCAGGCAGAGGGCAGTGCCCCCGCAGTTTAACACTGCACTTAAAAATGACCAGGAACTAATTTTAATACATATTTGTATTTATTTTTAAAGGAAACGTAATAATGATGCCATTAAAAAATCGACTCTTGAAATACTTCTACTTATCACTGTAAATGAAATGAAATGACTGTGATCTGGTCAATTCGGTATCGGAGTCTCGGAGTTCACCTAAATAGTGGAGTTTCACCTTGACAGAGAACAATCACGCTAGAGAAATTGAAATTTTGGGGGAAAAAATCACGCTAGAGAAATTGAAATTTTGGGGAAGAATTTAGCTAAAAAGACGTTCGAAAACGAGCAGCAATCATGTGAAAATGTATCCAGAAAGAAAATGGTGATTGAATTAGGGTAGAGGAGGGAGGAGCTGATGACAGGTGCACGAAGCTGCCGCTGTCGATTGTGCTGAAGCCTGCACCAAGTGCTGCTGCTGCCGATCGCCGGACATCTTCACAGCCACTGGACCACAGCTCACCTTCAACACTATCAGAACCTTTCACCTCTGTCAAACACCCGTTCTCTTTTCTCTTTGCCTGTTCGTGGTCGCTGACTAATGGGAAGATGGCATTGCGTGGAGGAAAATTGCGCAAGGCAAAAGCGGACTTATTTGACTGCTGTTTGGTGACTGTGAAACCTGCCTTTTCTCTCTGAACGTCTTTTCCCTCGTCTTTTTCGTTTATTGGCTGGTGGAGGCGTTTTCTGACTTGGATTTTACACCTGAACAATATGCTCAGTGTTGCCGCACCTTCATTTGTCGTCGTTTTATAGAGGTTTTTTGAAATTCATTTAAACATGGAGCCAGGAAAGGAGAAAGCTCTGCCTACCTCTAAAGAGGGGCTCAAACAAATCGCAGGAAAGGCCATGGGGAATTTGTACAGGTAAGGAGAAAAAACCCAACAACATATCACAGTGTTTCATTTTAAATTCCAGACATAGATATAATGACTACTTTAACTGAAATGCTGAAATGGAAACTCTAAATTATAGAACCGCCTGTTACTCTTATAAACGACAATTAACAATTTAAAAAAAGAGAAGAAAATGTGTCTTTTGGAATAAATCACAGACAGGACGGTGAAAGGAGGGGTCGTGTGGCCCTAATATTTAAGGATGAGATATTTCCCTGGAGGATGTTCCCCTCCACCAGCTGCTGTGGCTGTTTTTTAATAATTAATGCAACAGAACGAGTCGTGACACAAGGTCGGGGGATATCTATTACCTCATGTATCCATCTGTATTAATTCAAGATCGACTGACTTCAAACCAATCGACTTCCTATATTTTTTATTATAATGCCACAAGGACAAGTGGATGAGTGTGAATGTGGTGTGAATGGCTGGGAGATGACCGCAGAGAAATGAGATCTGTGTTTGAGAAACAGTAGGAGAGAAGGATTGGTTTTTGTTTTCCAGATGAGTAAATTGATTTGTTTTCGTTTATTTCTGTAAATAAAACGGCCAGTTATTTGATATAGGATGATAAATGTTTAAAAAAAATCAAGGCTCATTTGAAGAAAGCAGACGATATTTTCACATGCACACATTTGACTTCGGCTACAGGACGTGACTTTAGGCTGTGACACAAAAACGTGACCCCACAGCTGAGAGTGAAAAAACGTGTTGGTTCTATTGTAACAATGACGGGCCTTAGACCCCATCAGTGAGGCCTTCACGTTCCAGTATGCGGGGCTTGGATTAAACAAAGAAAAAAATGCAAAAGATTACCGAATTTTAGAGAAATACCTGCACAGTATTAAAAATGGAATTTCAAAAAATAGTTTTTTCTCTCCTGTCAGTAACGCTGACGCTGGTGTTGCTGCATTGCGGTATGAAGGTCATTTTCTCTTCAGTAACACTGATGCTTCAGAGAAATATGGAGAAAATGATCAATAATTAAAATTTAAAAAATCTAAATTTAACCAGTACAATAAAGGCCTTAAAACGCATCCGAATTTTTGGTTCTTGGTTAAGCGACAGGATAACAGGGATAGATGTGAAATAGAATCACGTGATATTCAGCAGCTCATTTACACCCTGACATTTTTCGCCTTTTTCTTGTTTTCTGTTGAATTTCTCCTCTTGACTGCTGCCCTACTTTATTTGCACCTTAAAACAATCGGGGATTTCTCCGCGGCTTGTCCTGCAGGAGGCTGGAGAAGCGGCAGCAGACAGGTGAAGCGATCGAGCTGACGGAGGATGGCAGACCCAAGACCAAGCAGGAGAAGAAGCCTCCCCTGCTGGACTGCACCTGCTGCGGGCTGCCGCGCAGATACATCATCGCGATGCTGAGCGGCCTCGGCTTCTGCATCTCCTTCGGTATCCGGTGCAACCTGGGTGTGGCCATAGTCAGCATGGTCAATAACCACACCGTCCACGAGAACGGCAAGATCATCATTAAAGAGGTGCCTGCATGAACACTCCGCCTCCACCTAGAACCAACCAACCAGCCTTCTGTGCACCGCATGTTTAATGAGGGCCCGAGCCAAGGTGTAGCTCCACACATGGAACCGTCATCATCATCATTATCTTACTGCAGAATTTTCTAAAATGTAAAAATCCTCAGAAGTTATTTATACATAAAAATTAATTTCAAACAAATATATATTTAATCCACAAAAGTCCAGTAATTCATCGGAATTCAGTATAGTTTTGGACCACATAAGGACTTCGGATAAATAATAATAATAAATCCAAAATTATTATCATATCATATAAGTGTGTACAAAGCCTGGCCATTGGTCCATGTGTGGCCCTGAAAACGATTTTATACGGCCACTGTATTATTTATGGGGAAACAGGAATATTGAACAGAATAAATAAATCATGAAAAAAAATTAATTTCTCTCTTGGGGTTTGCAGCAGGATTTGACCCTTTATGTATTTAATGTTTTAGCTGGCAGAAAATCTAAATCTCTTACATTTAATCAAATTTCTGTTTGAATGATACTCAAAAATATAAAATACATTTGTTAAAATCGATTGTGTTGCAATTAATATCAGGATTGTATTCTGAAGAATTACGCAACATTTTTTGCCTTAATTACATGTGAAAAATAAAATATAAATTTATAAAATAAATGAATTATGTGTGCACTTAAGTTCGTGTGAACCGGAAGTACAATGTTTTTATGTTTTAACACCTCGTGATTACATGCTTTAACTGAGTGTGGCCGCCATGTTGAATCTTGTTGTTTCCAAAACTAAATCATTGACCAAATCCTACCTGGACTTTCAGTACTGTATATTATATAGAAAGTATGTTTTTATAGAATCGAATCAAGGACTCTGAAAAAGGGTTTTCATCATGTATTATTTTTTGGCAATTACGACGGTGCTTAAAAAAATTTGTTTTTATATTTGATATTTTCGTTGCTGGCTTTACATACATTAATATATATATTTTTTTAATTTTAATTATTATTCTTTTTTTTCCTCTGAAAGAAAGCGAAATTCAACTGGGACCCGGAGACTGTGGGGATGATTCACGGCTCTTTCTTCTGGGGCTACATAGTCACTCAGATACCAGGAGGCTACATCTCTTCGAGACTGGCTGCTAACAGGTAAAAACCACAGAAACACACTGTTCTGAACTGTGGTCGAGATGTTCGATAGCGGCATTGGTACCAGTCACTCACCTGGAGGTCGGGGCTTGAACACAGTGTGGAGACCCCAGAGCAGATATACAAGGGGATTTGGCTGATGGCCGCCAGGCGTGTCTCCTCATGTTAATGAGCTCCCGGGGGAGCACCGTGTCTAATCCTTTATGTTCACAGACATGGCAACCACACCCACCCAAACACTGTTTAATGACTGCGGTACCGTTTCAATACCACATCTATAGCACGTTATTGCGCTGTAACAACTGTTTAGTGAATCACAACTGGACCAGAGGAGGATAGGAGCCATTGTGGCCCACAGAGAACATCGGGAGTAAAAATAGAAAGCACATAGAACTAGAACACTACAGTGACGAACCCTCGAACATTCGGATGTAGGAAGAAAGAATGATGAAATGGAGTAGAGAGACGATGGAGAGCGCCATCATGCCAAGTCAGCTGAGCCCCGTCTGCTGCAAACACCTCCTGTTCTCACTGCCATAGAAACTACACCATTGTGTGTGTGTGTGCCGTCTAATTAGCGCTGATTTAATATGCCTCTTCATTTCATGCAAAATGTCATAAAATGTTGCAAGATTACGTGAAAAAAAATAAGGGTGAAAAAATGCGCAGAAATTCACACCTTTAAATATAAACATAAAATAAATATGTTTCGCACATTAAAATACAGTTTTCGTTTAATTTTGCACACGCAGACTTTTTGACCACCAGTGACCCTCCTCTCTCCGTATACAGAGTGTTCGGGGCTGCCATAGTTCTGACGTCCACGCTGAACATGTTCATTCCCTCCGCTGCACGAGTGCACTACGGATGCGTCATCTTTGTGAGAATATTACAAGGACTGGTGGAGGTACTGCTGCACGATTCACACACCACCACACATCCCCACACAAATGACTCACACGTGTGCATGATTTAAAATAATATCGCTTCAAACGGAACACCTCGGCTTTACAATTGAATCTGCTGCTGGGAAAGAGAACCAAAAGTCAGTTGACAGCAGTGAGACCTGCTATGATGAATGGTTTAAAGAGCAGAGTCAGAAAAACAGGAATGGTGGGGATTGGGATGCTAGGTGTAGACAGGATCAGACGGTTAAGGTGGAGCAGTTGAGTTCGAGAAGGTTCAGACATGTTCTCAGGAGAGATGGTGAAGATAATGTGTAAATGTTGGAGTTGGGGCTGCTGGGAAGGAACAGAAGCAAGAAGAAGATGGAGAAGGTGGAGACAGTGGAGATGGTTGGTGTTACGAGACAGAATCAGATGGCTCTGGCCAAGTAGAAGATAGAAAATGATGCTCACTGTGAAGAAACTCCATTCACCGTAACAAATATTATATACAGCGTACAGTGAAGCCCTGAATAGCAGGGGATTCAGACACTGGTTTGCTGCTGGCACAAAGAGTTGTTCACATAGAAACACATAGAACAAAAGCAGCAGAACCACTTAATGGAGGCCAAGCCCACCGCTCCGAAAAGTACACTATTCAGAGAGATCGAGAGCGATGCTGTGTATTGTCTACCTGAAGGTCATCCTCTTTTGTGATTGTGTTTGGCAGCTCTCGGTTGTTTCAATAGCCACGGGGAGAAAAAGAGAAAGTCTCCCGTGCTCGGCAACCAATGCCTTATTACTGCAAATTAAACATTAGCATTTCAGGGTGTCTCCCACTGCAAGCACGAGCAATTTGTGTCTATCAATAGTTGATTGTATGCCACTTAGTGTGTAATGAAGATTTAATAGGAGCGGCTCAGTTTTTTTTTTCTCCATGAAACGGTAGCGTCAGCTCGAATCTGCACCGAGTCACACCTGAGCCATTAGTCTGGATTAGAAAGGTCACCCGCAAAGTTTATCACTTTATCTCCTTATTAACAACAATTTGTCCAGTGAGACCAAGACAGACGGGGACAGGCGTCGTCAGTCGGTCAGTGTTCAGTTATGTTAACTCAATTGACCAGGGGTGGAAAAGTGATGGTAAATATGTGACTTAAACGAAACACTCTGCTAAGTAAATGACAAAGAAATTAGCAGCTGTGAAACAGAGAAAAAGGTCACTGTGCAATAATCTTTGTGTTCCACTGATCATGTGGTCAGCTCAAGACTGACCTTCACACAGACACCCCACATTGGCGTATTTGGGCTGTAAGTGCAGGAATGGGTCAGAACAAGATAAATGATCTGGCCTACTTATGAATACCAGATTCCCCTTCTTACATGTGGGCAAATAGCATATGGTACACGCATGAAAACATGTACTATAAAATCAACCACACTGTTGTAACTTGAAAAATACATCCGTTCTTCCTTTATTTTTTAGTGCTATTATGATACAAATTACTTTTTTATATATATGTACATTTACATATATATTTACATATAAGAAATGCATTTTTTTAGTTCGTGATAATTTCATGGTTTGTGTAGTATTTTTTAAATGTATGTAGTATTTTTTTAAAAATCAGTCTGTACATACTCTACAACAACAATAAAAACGTCATTTTTTCCCAATGCAGGGAGTGACTTATCCAGCCTGCCATGGGATCTGGAGTAAATGGGCTCCCCCTCTGGAGAGGAGTCGCCTGGCTACCATTTCCTTCTGTGGTATAAATTTACATTTCTCATGGTCCTGTTTCTGAAAACACAAAGATCAGCACACCGGTATCACTGTCCCACTGTAGTTTGTCGCAGCTGTTGCTACCAAACTCCACTGACATTTATTTTAAACATTCTAATTCCTGAAAAACGTATCTCATTATTAACAAAATATATATATTTATTTGCAGCTTTAATTAATGAAATATAATTATTGTAATGGAACATCCTGCGTTGATTTCATTGTTCCTTTTGAAAAAACATAAAAGCTCACTGTAGTCTTGAGTATCCTAAAGGTTCCAGTTACCTCTTGAGTATTTTATACTACTTTTTACTACCTTTTGTCAATAAGTTTCTACTGACAGTTCTACTGACGTGCCTAGGAACATCATTAAAGCTATCACATCGTCGTCTTCTTCACGTCTTCTTCAGGATCTTATGCTGGAGCAGTGATTGCTATGCCTCTGGCTGGGATTCTGGTCCAGTACACAGGATGGTCCTCTGTGTTCTACCTGTATGGTAAATGTCACTTTAATGGAATGGTGTAATGAAGAAAATAAGAAAAGCCTAATCTGTTGTGTTATGTTCTTGATGTTTGGAATGGCTGTCTCTCCTCAGGATCATTCGGGATATTCTGGTATATGTTCTGGATCCTGGTGTCCTATGAAAGCCCAGCTGAGCACCCAACCATCACAGAAGAAGAGCAGCGTTACATCGAGGAGAGCATTGGCGAAAGTGCTCAGCTGATGGGAGCGATGGAGGTAAAATCGCAATCGCTATTCCCTCTGTCTGTGGCGTTAAAACGTTAACTGCCCCATAAGAGCTTCTGTTGGTTTATTTTGAACAGAAATACAAGACTCCCTGGAAGAAGTTTTTCACCTCCATGCCTGTCTATGCAATCATCGTGGCCAACTTCTGCAGGAGCTGGACGTTTTACCTGCTGCTCATCAGTCAGCCTGCGTACTTTGAAGAGGTCTTCGGCTTTGAAATCAGCAAGGTGAGTATTAACGATGTCTGTAGTTGACACTAAAGGTATTACCCAATCTCATATCACACACTTCTGTGTAGTTGGTGATACTGCATGTGTGTTGTTTATACTACCGACGGCTAGGAAACAGAGATTTTCATAGTGGTTTCCGTTGTGTTCTCTATAATGCATGCACAAATCTAAAAATGTCCTTCTTGATAATGAGTAGAGTTGGTTGTGCAGGGTGTGTTACTGTGTGCACAGTTGGTCAAATGTTCAGAATAAGACAAGGGATTAGAGCTAATGTCAGCAAAGGTCTGGATCCCTCTGAGATGAGGTGATGAATTGTATACAACTATATATTATAAATGGACAGAGGCATTCAGAGTATTGGCCATTTTACAGGGCTTGACTTTGTAGCCAGTGATAAAACAACTCAATGTCTGATTTATAGTACTATGTTGATTGAAAAAAATCATTCATTTCCTACTGGACATTTCAGAGTACTGCATTCATGTACTTTTTTTTTTTCTTCTTCCCTGTTTCCTCATGAGGTAACATTTCTTTTAAAAAAGGGCAAAACCAATTTCATCTCAAAAAATGTCACACGGTTTGCTCCACCTGTGAGAACAGCGAGCATGAATCACGCAGGTCCAGCAGCTGTAATCTGGCTTCAGGACAGACCTGGAGTGAAAGCTCTTATTACTGCAGTTGAATGATGACTCTGATGTGACACTGGAGGCAACGACAGATGCACAGACAGAATGTGTTCTGACATCGGCATGCTTTATTTCAGGTTGGAATGGTGTCGGCTCTCCCTCACCTGGTCATGACCATCATTGTCCCCTTAGGAGGCCAGTTAGCGGACTATCTGCGGACGCACAACATCATGTCCACCACCACAGTCCGTAAAATCATGAACTGTGGAGGTGAGTCTTTCACAGTGCGGTGTTTGAGTCCACCATCTTACAGGACGTGGTTCATCAGTTGCTCCTTTGCTCCTCCTGTTTTTAGGGTTTGGAATGGAAGCAACACTCCTGCTGGTGGTGGGTTATTCTCACAGTAAAGGCGTGGCCATCTCTTTCTTAGTCCTAGCTGTGGGATTCAGTGGATTTGCAATATCAGGTGAGATTGAAAATGTGGCTATTTACTCTTCACACTGGTTAACACCTCTCTTTGCTAAATCTATGTGAACCTGTGTGCTTTAGGATTTAATGTCAACCATTTAGACATTGCTCCTCGCTATGCCAGCATCCTCATGGGCATATCTAATGGTGTGGGCACCCTGTCTGGAATGGTGTGCCCTCTAATAGTGGGCGCAATGACAAAGAACAAGGTGAGTCGTTCTGCTCAGAATGGAAGTTCTGGATGTATCCAGATGATTTATTTCTGTGTTTACTTTTTATTGGCTGGTCACATGATCACATGTTCAACCAAATGTGAGAATGTGAGTGTGAGTGGTTGTTTGTCTCTGTCCTTCACTCTGCCCTCGCCCCATGGCAGCTCGTACCCAAAACTATCATAGGAGATGCTAACAAAAATGGCAGTTCTTTTGCCATCGGGTCCATTGGCCCAGAGTCTCTAACGCATTGTTTCCCAAAGACTGGGTTACGACCCTCAGGTGGGTCGCAAGAGATTCGTTTTTTGGCTCGTCTCGCATCATGTTTCCCAGGAGTTTATGAATAATGTCTATTGACTTGGATCGTGAAGGTTTGTGACTTTTAAAATATGGGTCCCCAGAAAAAAGGTTTGGTTCTAATGCTGTCAAATATAAGGTGCTATCTAAGCAGTAAAATGTGAATGAAACCTAAACCCAAATTGCTGAGTCTAACTTTTCTTCCTCCAGACCAGGGAAGAATGGCAATATGTCTTTCTCATTGCTTCCCTTGTGCATTACGGTGGCGTGGTGTTTTATGGGCTCTTTGCGTCTGGAGAGAAACAGCCATGGGCTGACCCTGAAGAGACCAGTGAAGAGAAGTGTGGCATCATCGACGAGGACGAGCTGGCGGAGGAGACCGGTGACATCACACAGAGTTATGGAACGATGGGCGGTCCTGCTAAAAGCTACGGAGCCACTGCACAACTCAACGGAGGATGGGTTCAGGACTGGGATAAGACGGAAGAGTACGTTCAGGAACCGGCGGGGAAAATGTACGCTGAGCGCGGTTACTCTTAAAACCCGAGAGTTACGGTGAGTCTGATCAGAGAATCATTGCACAAATTAAGCATTATAATAGAAAATATTTAAATCCATTCCATATATCCAAGTAAAAAGGTTTATTCTAGATTTAGGAAGTCAGAGTAAAGTCATAGTTAGATGCAATGCAGACCAATCCTCATTGAGCCTTACATTCTTATTATTACCACCACATGTGGAGCTTCATTTTACAGTGGATAGTGGTTAAACGTTAAACCTTTTGGGCACAAAAACCTCATGAATCTATGTACTTGAACAAAGAGCTAGATAATACTGCAGCTGACCATCATGTAGGGTCTTTGAGATACCACTCTGATTGCACTGAAATAATAAGTATTCTAAAAAAAAAAACTAAACTAAAATTTTATCCTGTTTATCAGATGTGTTTTATGTCCTGTATATACCTGTATACTGTTTCTGTGAGACTGTCGTGTATTTTGGGTCGTTGATCTGTGTTAACATTGATATAAAAGGCCATATTTTTCATGGACAGTACCTTTTCAGGGAGATGTCTGCTTGCAAAAAAGGTCTTCTTCTTCTTCTTCTTCTTCTTCTTCAGCAAAGCCTATAATATATTACAAGACAAAAATAGAGTGAGTGAAGTTGAACAGTAGAGTATTAGTGTTCCTGCATGAATTTGCTCAGATCAATGTTTCAGACGCAGCTGCCATTCAGTACGGTCACTGATAATCCCCCCCTCCTGCCTACAACTTTCTTCTTAGATACGTAAGTGTCTTCTGCCATTGAAAATAATAAAATAAACTTCATTATCAGGTTCTGACCGTAATGAGACTAATAAAAAAGTCTTGATGGCAACTGCTCACAATATGTTGTTAATTGATGTTTGGTGTGCACTGCAATAACTTCTGTGTACCAGCCGCCACCCATCACATTCTATTTCGTAACCTTGGCTTGCTGTATCTGAGTGTACTTGTTTTCGAGTCATGTGATGATCAAAAGCTACGACGTGCGTTCTGACGACCTCCTGGCTTCTGACCGTGAAGCTATGACGTCATGTTGCATTTTGGAAAAAGCCAGGATTGTGGTACTGTACATCACCAACCAGGTTCTGTGATCCCTCTGTGTTTCTTGGTTGTTCTCATCGTCACTATGACACACTTTGATATTGTCATGTTTGGAGTGGACCACACGAGTTAATAGGTGGCTCTTCCACCGTTATCCGCTTTTTCAACGCCTTTATTCTTTTGCTGTACGGATTCTGCAAGGGTGTTTAAAATATATAATGAATATTGAAGAATGTCTACGACGACCAAAAGATGCTATAACGGCTTTGTGCCTAAAGTTCATGTAAATGGATAAATGTGAATTTATGGATTCTAATGTTGTGTTTAATGAAGAGATATGTTGATGTAAAGAAATGTGTTATAAAAGTAATAATCATATCATTTTATAAAAAAAAAAAATCATCTTGTGTGTTGGTGTTGCACTGTAGCAGAGAAGGGTGTGTTTTCCATGTAAAGGTTGGAGGTCCTGGGGGACTAGGGTAGTGACACACTTTTACTAATCAGTGTCCAGCGTCTCCTATTTTCTCCATGCTTCTCATTAGTAAATCAATGGCGGAGGTCTCTGGAGTCTGAGGGAGAGTATTGGACACGGTGGCTTAGTAATTGGTGGATGGAAAGAGGTAAACAAGTCTGAATGTTGCTTCTAAAGCTTACATCCTTAAAGAAACGGGTCGGAGTTGTTGTCTGTTCTTAGACTGATCTGAGGTCAATCAGTTGAGTAATATCTGCTCCTGAGAATTAATGCCAAAAAATTCTCTTGACGTCATTTCACCCGTCTGACTTGTGAGAGCACAAAGACAACACAGGAGATTTACCTAGCAATGGTAATGAGGTCAGTGGTGTTAGGTCTAAAATTAATTGACCAAGTTACTGCGTTAAATCCAATCTCATGTTAAATCCATATCATTTAAGACCAGATCTGATTAGAGTTTAATGGAGAAAACTTTAATAATGTGATAAATGAAAGTCTTTTATAAACCAGTGTAGCACTGTTGTTCAAGAACGTAGAGTCCCAGTTGGTTTACAAACTCAGGTTTGACAGTTGTGGCAAAAAAGGCTTTATTTTTTCACCTTTGTTGGTTCTACTGGAAGTGTTTACTTGGAAGCACAGCTCCAGCAGGTGGCAGAAATGTTACTCAATAAATGCTACGGTTAAAATCTGAAGAAGAAGAAATAAAGAGAACAGGTCAGGAGACTCACTCCTGAAAGTTAAAGATCTCTATATAGAAATTATGTATGACAAAAAAACTAAAAAAGCTAAATAGCCTGATAGCCTGTTTGATATATTAAACCTGGTTGTAACACTAAGCAGAGCAGCCACTCATACAGCTATCAGAGTGAAGAAGTGAACACCTGCTGGGAGGTGCAGTTGAGTCCAGGGTTTTGACTTGTTGACTGACGTCTCCATGTCTGAACCACAGCGGCAGCGATTACAATAAATCTGAGTTTCTTCTTCAATGAACATTTAACACACTCCACCGCCAGCTCCTCCGTGGACACGTTAATTTGACAGTTAACACGATTGTGTCACCAGCCACGCGGAGCGTGTTTCCTCATGCCTAACCAGGCAGAATGGTCGTGGTTGTTGCCCCGGTGATTGTCTTTCCTTCTGGCTGCAGTATAATTGGAGGAGCAGCGTAAACTGACAGCGTAATCAACCCTTCAGTCGTAGACTCAAACTCTCTGAGATTTCCTCATCTTGGTATTTCTGATGTTGTCGGCAGTGTTCTGCTGAGAGGAGACTGAGTGGTGGTCAGACTGTGGGGCAGGTGCAGTAAGGCTCCTGGGGGACTGTAATAAGATGAGGCCCAGCCAGAATGAGTGTTTGATGACAGGCTTACACTCGTCCCCTGGGAATGTCCCTGCATAAAATTATTCTCCTGTTCCCTTCTTTCCGGCTTGACTTCGACCCAATGCGACCACAGCGGTCTGTCCTCGCTGCTGCCTGCAGGTTCTTTCAAATCCAGTCTGAGAATAAACTCCTGCACATGTTCAAGGATCCATTTTTGACTTTAAAATTGCAGCCTTACTGCAGTAATTACTCTTTTATGACTCGTCTGCGTGACACCACACAACCCCAGGGCAATTACATTTTTACACCTCCCTCCTCTCCCTTGCTAATTGCTTTATTAACGGAGAGCTTGCTCACATGAAATTACATGTTAAATGTCGCTGCTCTCCACCCACTGCTTCACTCAAAACAAACATCATAGTTAAGAGCCACTCCGCAAAATGACTTCCTGCTTTTAATTACTTTACACACCTTTAATTCTTCTAATGTGGGGTCAGTGTGAAAACAAAGGAGGCAGTAACACCGACGGAGCGTCGTCTTTCTCAATATGGTACAATAATCAAGACTGATGACACTGCTCCCTTTGTTTTGGTTACCATCAACTGGAACTGACACATTTATCAAACTAAATTTAATGTAAAGGGTGAGACCAGGCAGCATTCTCACCTCTGGTGGGTCATTTACACCTGGTACAATCGCAGGAAGGAATTGCTTCTCCCAATCGTCTCTTCTCTGCAGACCGGCTTCTTCCTACTGCTGTATTTGATGTCATCCATCACAGGTTCCTCCAGCTCCCCTCCCCCACCTTACATTATGTTGACAGCTTCATACCCTCCTCTCCACGGCATCCTCACATGTTCTCACAAAGACAAAGGGTGAGAGGCAGATAAGATTTCACCACAAGATACACTTGACATCATGATGAAATAATGACACTGAGAGGCTGAGGGTGAGGAGATCATTAGGTCTTTTTTCATCTTTAGGTACATAATCTGAAACTATTATATTGATACAGAGCTTAAGTGAAGTCATTCATCTGAGGGTTAATCTGTTAAACCATCTCCAACACCGTGCGTGATTCTCTATCACAATGTCCTGGTGTTATAATCATCTCTTCTCAATATTTAGATTTTATCCACGCCTAAAATCACATTCTGGCATCTAATGTAAATAACTCAATTTCCATTAAGGGTCGTACACTTTCTAAAACAAAGCATTAAAACAAAATAAGACTAAAAAACAGAAAGAACATTCCGTGCTGTTAACTGGCAGCTGATTGGCTCTTGGTGAGCCACTGCTATTCTGTGTTAAACTATTCAAGTTGGAAAGACAGAGGTTTAACTCGACACGACACAACGATGTAACGCACCCCATGAATACATTAAAAGCACTCTCTGAAACTGTAGCAGGCAGAGGTGTGGCTGTACATCAACGCTGGGCAGAAACACAAAGGAGTGTCTTTTGTTGTCTTAGCTTAAAATAGAGCTTTGTGGCTTTTTTTGGTTTTACTGTGTCCTAGTTTAAAAATGTGATGTTGCCGACCGTTGTCTCATTCGTCATGGACTAAAATGCAGGACTGTTTCTGCAAACACAGCATCTCAGGAGCGTCTTCAACAGGAAGAGCTTTTTATAGCAAACCAAGGTGAGGATGGTGTTAATATCTGCCACCTTTTTTCACAAGCTGTAGACACTTTTGATGACTGTAAAAACGAAACCTCTGTCTCTGTCTCTGCCTCTGTCTCTGCCTCTGTCTCTGTCTCTGTCTCTGTCTGTGGCTGTGGCTGCTGATCATCAGCACGTCTTCTGAGTGGGTCACAGGTGTGTGTGTGTGTGTGTGTGGGGGGGGGCCCTCCCGCGTCTATGATCCGTCACCGGGGACAG